AGCCATCAGCCCCAGGTGCTGGATGGTATTCTCAATCTAATGCCCCAACACCTGACATTGGCCTGGGTCAGATCAATGGTCCATCTCATCTGACTGTCTAGAGCTGCCAACCCAGCTCTAACCCTGTCATTGAGCCACCAGGTTAAGGTTCATCTAGTCTAGCCTCCTGTTTTTAGGGTTGGTCAATGACTGAACCTTGAGAGAAGGATGGAAAATCATGTGATAATCCTGGTTCATTATTCAGTGAAATACATGGAAGGACACGATGAAATCTGAGGACATTTTTTTCTGACCTTTAAAAGAGTCATCTGAAACTATCACACAGAAATTTGACTACCTAAAAATGGGTGGTGTTTTGAATGCTGCCTTTATTTATTCATTAGTATGTCTGACTCAGGTCTTTTACTTGGTCCAGGTGTGACGCCATGGTACAGCTATGTCTATATATTGCACATTCCAGTAACATATCAACAGAGGTTTTACATACCTGCCAGGAAAACAATTACAGGAAACCAACTCCCTTCCTTGGTGATAGGCCAGTCCCTCCACCGACCCTACAAACAACCCAGAGGTAAACAGCTGGAATCTGTTGGAGCTCTTTGGACCATAAATAACAGTCAGAATCCTTTGATCATGTTATTTGGGGACATGACTGCTTGGAGCCACTGGGGGCTGTATGCTGGGTGATGCTGGCTGAAATTCAGGCGATCGGTTTGTCTTCCTCTTGAAGAGATACTCACATATCTGCAACTCAGGAGTCAGCTGCTTTTCCATACACAGAGAATGTAGAAAGAGGTGAGTCATACAATCATAGAAAGCTAGGTCCCTGGAAGGGACCTGAGGAGGTCATCTAGTCCAACCCCTTGCTCAAGGCAGGATCATCCATATCTAAACCATCCCAATCAAGTGTCTGTCTTAACATGGCAAAGAGCCAATCTAGCAATGGCATGAGGGGGAATCATCATACTCCATGACTTCATCCTCCCCAGCAAGGGAAGCAAAGGAAAGCAATTGCAGCCTAACATCCTTCAAAAAGAGTTTGCCTTACGGAGCTGAGGTTTACTTGCCAGGCACTGAAGACCCCCAGCAGGAGTGAAGAGGGAGTACAGAGTTAAGTGGGTCTTCTGAGTTGCCAGAAGCCTGAAGCAGTGAAATGGCTGCTGAAGTCTTCTCTAACGTGAAGAATGAATGAATGAACACCAAGGAGCCAGGGCCCAGGTGAACAGAAGCAGGGATATATGGCATCTTGATGGAAGGAAAGCAAAATGCAGAGATGATGCAGCTCTAATTTGAATAAGCAAGCAGCTATTATAGTACTTGATCACCTGAGGCCCCAGCTCTGAATCGTTTGAGGTTCTCCATCATCAGGCACAATCTCCAGTCCCACAGCAAACTTCCCAAAGGGACCTGGCATGGGCCTGAAGACGTTTGGCCTTGAACAACATGACCGTCCTGAGCCTTCATGCCATGGCCACCTCTGTACCATGTCATTTCAGAGGAAGTTTTATGGCAGCATGGGACATCGGTGAAGAGGGGCGTGGGGAAGAAAGGGAAGGAGGAACCATGGCTTCCACTTGCAGTTGAAATTCTGCCAGTATAGCTGCCTGACCAGTACCATTTCCCCTCTTGAAACCCCTCTGGTGGGTGGGCTACAGTAATCATGGGCAAGTGACCACACTCCACAGTAGCATGCAAATGACTGACAGTAGATGCCAGTCCTCCCAGAAGGCCTCAGCTGTGTGTATGTGGCTACAAAGGAGCTTGTGAGGTCAGTTAGTGGCTTTGTCCTGAAGGAGAAAAAGACAGATTTGCCCAGAATTACGTTGGCCTCTGAGGTCAAAGTAGAGAGATTGCTCATAGGCAAAGCAGCCGGAAATGCACACAGTCACCTTTTCTTGGCTCTTCAGGGGAAATTGCTGCTGGCAATTGGTAACTTTCTACAGAATCTCAACACACGGTGAGTTAGTCCAGGTTTTCTCTTACTTCCCTTCAGAAATAAGGATGTCCTGGATTAGCAGCTGTAGGACTTTAGGAGTCCTTGGGTGTGTGAGGATCAATGTTGCTGTCAAGTGCTTATTAGAACAAAAGCATTGTGCAAAGCAGGGGCCAGACCACCTGTCTATCGATCCAGGTCCCTGAGTCTGCACCCATGGCCTGGGAGAGAAGGGGTGGGTGGGGCCCCAGCTTACAGTTTGCAGTAAGATGGCATTGAAGTATTGTAGAATTTCAACATGTTCTCTAATTCTGAAACCCTGACACATACCAGACGGTCTGAGGGCGACCATGTATGTCATCAGTACTTCCTGCTGGGCATAAGGACTGAGATGAGGAAAGAAAGAAGAGAGTGATATAGGAAAGCTAAGTGAGCAAGGGCAGGACTTTTGCAATGCCCATTCTCCTCCTCCCCTTTTCTGATCTATGACCTCCCACACTACTCAGGAGAGGTTGACCAACTGGATAGTGCCCTCTGGCTCTGGTTCTCAGCAGTGAAAACTTGACCTCTTGGGTATCTGGGATGAGACTGTCAAGAGCCTGGTTTTTCCAGCTCCCCTCTCCATGGCATGTGGCTAACTGAGGAACTAGGCCGGACTCTGTAGCTGGTGGTGAGAGAGGACAGATAAAGCAGACAGGCTTTTGGTACAGTGTCTCAGGCACCTGGCAGATGATAATTTAGCTATGCAATGGGAGCTGAGGGATCTTATCTTGAATCCCCAAAATTAGGGGTCTTGCCATGCCAGACGTGCCTGGAAGAATGTGGGATTTTTGAGATCAAGGATAACATTCTTCAGACCCCAATTGCACAATTGCCAGTGGGCAGAGAGCCCAGTATTGGGAACCTGGTCCCTGATGTCACACTTCCCACAGTGCTCTTTCAAATTTCCAGCATGTGGGGAGTCTGTGACTTTGAAGGTCTGTGTGCCAGCAAGTTGAAAAGCCCATCATGCAGCCCAGCATCAAGGAACCAGTTCTCCCATGCTGGGCTGCACAGCACAGCACACCTTTAAAGGTATGAGTATGCAGGGAGCCCTGTATTGGGGAGTGTAGCAGGTCACTAAGGTACCTGCTACTCTTGGGAGCAATGAGGAGGGAGCCCAGGTGCTGGTTGCTAGGGCAACTGGAGGGAGCCAGTGACTCATACCTGTTAGCGGTCAGCTGACCAGAAGGGGCAGGGCCTGGCTCCCATTTAAACCCCAGGGCTAGAGCCAGGGGAGGGTTCCCTGCTGGCAGCTGCAGGGGAAGGAGCTCTGCTGGAGCAGTAAAAGAGAAGAGAACGGGTGAGGGATGGAGTTCCCTTAGGGGTGGCTCGAGTGATGTTTTAGCCAAGTGGCAGAAGTTTATGTTATAGCCTAGGGGCTTGAGTTTTGTGTTTGCTGTTTACTTCCGGAGGTTTGGGTGAGGCTATTAGGGGATGGAGGAGGCCTCATTTTTGATAACCCACTCCGGAGTGGGAACCCTGGTGCCAGTGAGGGCACAGCTTTTGGGGGCACAGACCCCAGTGCCAGTGAGGGCGCACCTTTTTGGGGGGCCACAGTCCTTGTGCCAGTGAGGGCGCAGTTTGGGATGAGATGAACCCTGGCACTAGAAGGATGAGCTTAAAAAGCCAGGGATGCCTGGTGCACCTGGGGGTGGGGGTGTGCAAGTGTGTTTATATATGTGTATAGGAGGGGTTTTGTGTTGTTGTCAGGACTGGCGGGTCACCCCTGGTTTTGAACTGGTGGCCCCTTGCTGTGGGGCTGGCACCCGTGCCCCTGGGACAGGGAGGACTGTGCTCCAGAAGGGAGCAGAAAAGGGGGCCATGAGCCTCCAGGCACTTGAAGGAAAAGCTAGAGCCTCGGAGTTAAACCCTGTGTGGTGGGTTTGGATGAGGAGGCCTAGCTAGAATAAAAAGGGGTCAGGCCATTCTAGGAGAGACCTCACCGTACCCAATAGAATAGGCAGTCTCCCGCTCTCATAATAAGTTCCAACAAGACGTGGCAGCCGAGATTACAGCGGGACAGAAGGATTCCAAGGGCGCCCCACATAAGGTGTGGATGACCAAGAAGATGGCACTGGGGAGGGAGTCCTGTTACAGGGAGCCATTAAACGTGCAACATCTTTGTTGATGGTTTGCCATTCTACTGTGTCCTAAATTGCTAGCATGTGTAGCATGTGTGGACTTTTGCTGAGACTGCAGTCCCTGCAACTTCATCAATACCACCTGACAAGGACAGCCACAATGACAGCATGTTGCAATTTATTGCGTGACTTGTGTTAATCATGTGATAAATGTGCTGCTGGAGGACTCATCCTCTAGCATGGTACTGGGACACTGGCTTGATACTAGAGGGCAGAACCTCTCCTCACCGAATCCTCACCAGCATACGGGGTTTTTCTTGATGATTTCCCAGCCGTGTACTGAGAGAGTCTGAACTAGGTAAGTGTGCAAGATTGGTTGAACTCAGAGCGTTAGGGGCTGTGGCTCTCAAGTGTGACACACATATGGCTTTTCAGCACGAGACTGGAAACAAGAGACTGACAGTGCTCAGTCCTGCACCATGCTATTTGCTGTGTAACAACCCAGCAAAACTGGGCTGTGCTTCGCAGGGTTGTGCATGCACATTGGTTTGAGTGGCAGTTTCACACAGGCCTGCAACGAAACTTGCTTTGCTCCGTCCAGGGCAGAATGGTGCTGGCAGGGTTGCCTGAGGCACTGGAAGGGACTGTTGCAGGGAGGTGAATGGACCCCGCTCACAGTGCTGCCACTCACGAGGCATGCTGGCCACTAGAAGCACTGTTAGTAAATAAAGTAAGGCTGCCTTTCCTGGTTGAATGGTCTAGGCCTGAATACCCCCAGAGCTCTACTAATGCACCTTGGAACCGGCCAGCCCAGCTTGCTGCTACCTCAGCTCTGCCAATGCATCTCACTTTAGCCCTACAGCTCCCCCACCCCTGCAGGTGTGGGAGGCAGAGGAGAGAAAGCTGTGAAATAATCTCTCGCATCCTTTTTTTTTTTTAAACAGCACGATCACCGTCACCCTAATTCTCGCAGCAGTGATTGCACTGATCATCGGCTTTGGAGTTTCAGGTAAGTGGTGGCCTGGGTTAGCTGATGTCACTGTTTCTTCTCTCTAAAATGCCTGTTGCGTTTTATTGAAGGCTTTGAAAATGTATAGAATTATAGAAAGCAGGGCTGCAAGGGACCTCCAGGGGTCATCTAGTCCAGTCCTTTACTTGAGGCAGAATCAACCCTGCCTAAACCATCCCATGCATCTAACCTGTTCCTGACACTCCACAAACAACTCTGTTGCACAGCGGCAAGGTGTATTGCCTGAAGACACCAGGAGCACTCTAACCTGCCACAGGTAAAGTGGAGGGATGATGTACTGCTCGTGTCCTGCTATTGCAAGGGTTGTTAAATGCACTCCAGAGATCGAAGGAAGAGGGCCATGCCTCCAGCTACAGAGAGAGGCAAAAGTCCCACAGTCCATGCCACTCTGATCATGGGGTGAAATTCCTTCCTGACACCAAATGTAGTGACCAGTCTGATCCTGTGATCCTGAGCAGAGGGACAAAACCCATTAACCAAAAAGCTCCAGGCTTTAGTTCTAGCACAAGCATCAGCACATCCCACATGTGCTACCAGGTAGCCATCCAACAAGCTGAAAGCTGCTTGCAGACCTGCAAGTTTTCTTCATTGAATATTCAGGCTCTTTGCCCATGTCAGATTGTTTCAGTGCTGGGATTTTTGGACACCTTCAACTGAGCCCCAAGGGACCCTGAAATCCAACCCGGGCTTTGCCACAGGAACACTGAGTGGCCCCTGGCATATTACCTGTCTCAGTTTCCCTATCCTGTGCAGTCATGGAGGAAGGAGTCCTGCAGCGACAAAAACACCCCATCTTGTCACTGTGTTACTAAAAGCTGTATTGTAATTCATAGGGCCAGGGCAGCTGAAATAAGCTTATACTAACTGCTTTTATTGTGGCATGTCCTGGCTTTGGGGTTTTGCTTTGCATCATTCTTTTTAACAAAGCTCGACTTCAGTAGTATAGCTGAGGTGAGGGGTAATGAGGGCAGCAGCTTTGGCGCCACCTTTGTACAAGGCACAAACGTTGTTACTGGAGTGGCAGCTGATTGCAGGAGCCAACACTGCCCCAGGTGATGGCCACCCTGGATGTGGAGCTGTGCTGCTACACCTCCACTTGACTTTTATGTAACTTGCTGGATTTTGGGAAAAGGAAACTGTGGTACCATTTCCCAGGCCAGGGAACCCACGAGGATTTGAATCAGGACCATCAGCACCATCATTTGCACCACTGAAGTTAAAGGAATAACTACAATCACTGGTACAGGGAGGTGGCAAGCCCTGCGGCTCAGGCACTGAAGGATGCATATCACCTAGAACAGGAATGTACAGGAAGTCCCATTTTACAGGCAGCAAAGCCAAGCACAGACATCCAGAAGCATCTTCCCAAGAGGCACAGTGGCTAAAAGCCAGAAGCTTTGTCCTGATGAATTAGAGGGATGGATTCTATTCCTAGCTCTGTTGTAAGTGGCCCTGTGTAACCTCTCAGTGGAGTACAGGGTGATGTGAGTGGAGAAAGACACAATCAGCAGCTGGAGCAGCAAAATGTGAGTTGATGGTCTCTGGGTTGTGGTCCCCTGCGCTTTCCCCCCAGAGCAGCAGTTCTCAGCTGGATTGTGGGTTGATGTCATGGCAGGTGGGCCACAAGGGCTGATGACTTCCACTTCCTTCCCTTCTACAAAACATTCCTGGCACTGAGCTTCTCTCTGCACACAGGCTTTGCCATGACCAGCTGCAGAGCTGCTTTAGTGCAGTGCTGATGGTGGCCTTGTTGGTGCTGTTGGTGGTCAGTGCTGATGAGGTCTGTTGGAAGGTGGAGACAATTCTCCAAGTGCAGCCTCGTGCCTACAGTTCTGCAGCTTCCTGTGCTGCATCTAGCTTGCCTAGAGCAGCCAGGGGCAGGGAGAGGGGCTGTTAAGCTGTACCTGGGGGTAGGAGGAAGAGACGAAGGGGGCTGGCAGTGGGCTATGGAACAGCAGGTGAGGTCTGGGGGAAGCAGGGCATGAGAACTACTGCCCTGGACCACAGGGAAGTTGGAAGTAGGGTCAGAATGAAGCAGGGCAAAGGGGGTCCATTTGTCTGTACTGTGCATGGTCTGTGCTGCTGTTATTGCTAAACTATCTCCCTGCCTCCTAGGACTGCGTTTAGAGACACAATAGGCATCCCTCGTGTGGGTCACTCTTTCTCCTTTCTTTAGTTCTTTGGGTAGGTTTTCAGGTGTTGTAGGTTCATGCTGTTGCTGAGACTTTTGAACTTGATTTGAAGCTCTGTGGGCAGCTACTGGTGAATGTACAGCACAGGTTTGACCAGCTTACAGTGGCCAGCATGGCAGGAGAGACATGCTGCCATATTCTGCATGTGGCAGGGTTTTCTGGGGGCTGATGGTGCTTGCCAGATACACTGTCTTGACGTAGTCCAGATGTGGGAGGACAAAAGCATTTATTGCTGAGGCCAGGCCACAGTCTACCAGGGTGGGACATTGTCCTCCAGGCAACTGGAGCCTAAGCAATGGGACAAGGTACTTGTTGGAGAACATGATCCTTGTCTGCATCTGACTGCCAGTCTGGTTCACAAGTTCAGTCCTGTGCAAGAAATAAGGAGGCGGCAGAGGAATAGTGTGAACCAGTTGTGTTGGATAACCAGTGAGAGCTGCAACCTGAAGCAAGTTTCCGATTCTCCCCTATTTCAAGAGCACCTTTGATTCCATTTTTTTATTGTTGTTTATCATTTGGTATATAGGCATTTCACTGTGTAAACACTGCTAAAATTGACTTTGTTGATGTGTTTTTATTCTTCTCATTTCAAGTCTGCTGTCTACTTATTCCCCTTTCCACAGCCACATATACCACCATATTGTTTCTCAGACTGTTTTCTACTTCATATCATTCTTCTAGATTTCCTTCTACCTCTTTCCTTTTTCAATTCTTGCTACTTTTACAAAAGCAATTAGGATTTTTTGCAGGGGCGGGGGTTGTTATGGTTTATTCCTGTTAAGGAGAAGGAGCTGATCCTCTGTTCATTTAAAAAAAAAATTAAATCCAGCTTACTAATTAGGATGTATGTAAAGCCTGTTTTTTCTGACTACAGCAGGAATCCAAGACAGTTTCTTTGCTGTTGGGTTCATGCCTCTTGCCAGGCAGCACTTGACCCAAAAAACTCTTTCCCTTGACTTTTTTCTCAGAGTTATACTATGAGGATGTCTCTGACTCTTTGCATCTTTCATGCCTTTTCCATCTGCTTCTGTGGGATGTTGGGTGCTTCTCTCACACATGCAGACACAGACTCTGTCAAGCCAGTCCTTCATCCCTTCATTTGGAATCAGTCCTTTGGCAAATTTCTTGGATTGCATGGCCCAGATACTGTCAGGGTTGCACATAGTCCATTCATGATGAGAGATGTTCACTCGTCTTACCTACCACTGAACACAGGGGCTGAAATCATTTAGTCTGTCCCACCCAATGGCTTCACAGCAGGAGTGGGACTGCTCCACCCCTGAGCTACACTGCTCCCCATTCTCTTCTTACCTATTTCAGCCTGTCTGTTCCCTTCCACTATCATTTCTTTTCTGTCTCAAGTATATTCCCATCCTCTGGGAGTCTGTGGACAACTCCTGGAGTCATTTGTGGTCTCTAGCAGAAGCTAATGTAAGACTGACAATGATGAAGAAGACAGAAGTGCTTAATTGTCTGAGACCAGACTTCTGTTCTCTTGCCTTCTGAACCTGCCTTCTTAGTTCCTGGGCAACATCATTCCTGTCACTTAAATCCAGTCTCCTCCCTTCTCTTCTTGTTTCATCCCTGGGCTATAGGCAGTCTGGCTTGGGGGCTTGTAGGTGAGCCAAAGGGAAGAGAGGAGTTTTGTCCTGGAAGGCACAGGCCTCTAGTTAGTGACTCACTCTGGCTCATGGGGCCAGAGGCAGATCGGCAGCACCATGGGGCACTGGGTGGTGGTGCTCTGTCTCCGTCTGTCCCCTAGCCCCTGTCAATCTTGACGGGCAATTGGCTAGTCTTTTTATAAACACCCATTCTTTTCTGAGGAATATAGAGAGTGGTGCTAACAAACAGGAGCTTCTTTCAAAGGTCATTTATATAACCAGGGTTTGAAATATGAGGGGGGGGACTCGGAGGCTGAGCCCCCCCCCCCATAAGAGACAAGAGCCCCCAGTCCACCCCACACCTTTCTAAGCAGCTCAGGTGGAGACAGCAGCTCCTTCTTGCCTCTGGCTAGCACCGCTGCAGACCCCTCCAAGAGTCAGAGTATAATTCAAACCCTATATATATCAGCTGCTTGAAAAGAGAAAGTAAGAAAAAATCTAACCTGCCCCTCAAAAGTAACTGGACAAGGAAAGATTGTGGGGTTTTGTGATGCTGATAAAAGTTCTTACCTTATTCTTTTGCTAGAAACTACTATTAAGAATGGAGCGGGATGTCACATAGGCACCCCACAGGTGTTTTGTACAAAGTTTTGTTTAAAAAAATAACAACAAGGGGTATTCCTGCCTCTGTATTCATAGGTCTTTGCTCAGCAGAGGCCTGTGAATGATTCCAGAGTCCTGGCTTGCTGCTACTGTTCTTTGCACCCCCATGTTTTCCTGGCTCTGCCACTGGATCTGTGCTTTCTTGTTGCAGGTAGACACTCCATCAGCGTCACTGCTTTGACCTCTGCTGGGAACATTGGAGAGAACAGCATCTTGGGCTGCACATTTGAGCCTGACATCAAACTCGGCAATGTTGTAATTCAGTGGGTAAAGGATGGTGTTGCTGGGCTGGTCCACGAGTACCGAGATGGCAAGGACCAGCTGCAGAGCCAGGGCAAGGCTTTCCAGGGCCGCACGGCGGTTTTTGCAGAGCAGGTGATTAGTGGGAATGCATCCCTGATGCTCAGAGATGTGCAGCTGTCTGATGCTGGCACCTACCGCTGCTCTGTGACCACATCCAAAGGGAATGGAGAGGCAGTGCTGGAGTATAAAACTGGAGGTGAGGAAAACCTGGCGAGGGAAGCTACCTGAAGACAGCTTTTCCAGGGAGTCTGTTTTTTGAGGACACTGGCCAAGGCAGACAGGCATCACTCAAACCAAGCTGTACAATTCAGCTTGGTTACAGCCCCAGCTCCACTCTCAGTGAAGACTATTCACCCTCATCAGCTGTCCCACTCCCAACAGGAGCTGGACAGGACACTTTTACTGAAAGACCATTTGGTTGGGAAAAACTGTCTTCAATAAATCCTGGGTCCAGGAGCAGATCCAGGGTGCGTGCAGTGGTGCAGCTATACCCCATTTGATTCCTGCTCCACCCAGACTTTCAAAGCAACTGCCTGGGGCCACAGTAGCATTTCTAGTCAAGCAACACTGACGGAGTCAATTGACTTAGTGGCTCACTATAATCTGCCTCATTCCTACTAATCTCTCTCCGCTCCAAAGGTGTTAATGACCCTCACTCCTTTTCAATGGTCTTGATGTTCCACTGTTCAAATGATCCTTTCTTGTATGTCTTCCTTCTATTCCACAACTCTGCCAAAATTTTTTTTTTTAATCTAGCATAAAACCTTAATTCACACGTGGTAATATTAACTCGGGTATAGAAATGACTGACAGTGAAATATTGAAGGTACTGTCAAGAAGGCTGGATTTTATTTTACAGATCTGATTAAGATTTAACTATAGTGACGGCAGGACTAGTGAAGCAATCTCTTTTAACTGTTTTGAGGTTTTTTGCCTAGTTTTTTTGTATTTTTTAAACTTTATATATAATCCAGCAAATTAGCATACCTTCCAGTAAAGTTACATTTTTTTGTTTTGATTTTAACCTGAGTAATGTAGTGCTAGACCTCTGACATTTTAGTAAAGCTTTTAGTTTCTGTTTGACTGTCAAACAATGTTATTTGTGATGAAGTACCACAACATCAGCACCTCCCTTTTCAAAGTCTTCGATCTACCCATGTCTAAATTGCTTGCAAAATCTTATTGATTTTTTTTTTTAAAGAAAATTTCCAAACAGTATATTTTTGGGGGTTGAGAAAATTTTCATTTAGGGGAATAATGACATTTTATTTTGAATGTCATTGCCTGGAGCTACTGCATTCTCGTATTATGATTTTTATGTTATGTGGCATAGTAAATAGATGATATAGTCCATTTTTTATATTTTAAATCTTTTAAGGGCAGCTACTATATAGCACTGGTTGAAATGTCATCTTTTTTAGATCAAAGTGTCTCTTGTAACGCGTGACAATGAAACAGTTTGATGTTCTGTGGGTAGGAAATTAAACATGAGAAAAGGCTGTCAGAGTTTTTCCAGAGATTTCAGAAAGGTTCAGAGACTCCCCTCTTTTTCTACATCTTTGTCCAGGGCGAGGAAATTAGTTTATTGTCCTGCTTTGATTTTTCTCCATGGAGGATGCATATGTTCATGTTTTTCTCATTTACTTGCTTGACTATGAAATGATCCAGTTTATAATTATTTATAGAATTGGACCATCTGTCTGATACAGTTTTCATAGGAATCCAGGTGGCTGTTTCATAATAATTATTACTTTATTAATTATGGAAAGACAGCATTTTCTCTCCATAATTAAGGTTATAACTAAAGCTGGGTGAGATACTTATAACAAGTTATAGCAAATGTAGCTCTCTTCCTGCTTGCAGGTTTTCCATAAACTTTGATCCTTGCTAATTTGTTCATTATTCAAAATAAGAAATAATGATTTTTAACCCTTGTGCTAATAAGTTGTTGTATCATGACTATTTTTCTCAACTATTCACTATATGCTCAGTGTAGCTGGTCACTCATCATGGGGTATCATTTCTACTCCATAGTGGATGACTGACATGCTAAAAATAAAAGGAATTAGATGATCAGAACTATCTAAGGCATTTTAAAGAAAGTCATGCAAATCCTTCTGATGTAAACCCATGCATTAGCAAGTAGCTGTGTGAATCTTTGCTATCACAAGAACTTTATTCCATATAAAACTTGTTATAGTCATAAAAATGTTGACAAAAGCCGGTTGCAAGTTAAATGCATACAAATGTTTTCAGAAAGAAAATGGAAAATGATTGCAAGTAGTACTGGGATAATTTGTAGCTTTAAGCATAATACTCATCCCACAGAATTTCTGTTTTTCCATTACTAATTTGATTGTCTTTTTTCCTTCCTAACTTTCTCAGAAATTAGGACAGCTAGCTAGGATTTCTTTCTGGTGCCCTCACTTTGCCAGAGAACAGTTTTCAAGTCTGGTTTTGAGTTAATCAAACAGGGCGTTTTGAAGACACCTGACTAAAATGACCATGTTTTCAAAATCTGGCACACTTTGGTGACATCTTCAGGCTCATACATAATCTATGTAAAAGATAAAAATAAACCTTTAAAATGCATGCAGGGTTGCATCTGCCAAATTCCAGCTTAACAGGCATGGTTCTGTGGTAAAGGATACTGTTTCTGTATGTTAGCATTCTGCTGGATCTTACACGAAACACTGCTGTCAGTCTGATCAAAAAATATCCTTGAGTGAGTGTGTCTACATGTTCACTAATGAGCTGTAGTTACTGAACATTAAGTTTAGTTTTTGGCTAACCAAGTACTAAATCAATGCGCAGTAACTTGCACTACTGTGCAGTAGCACCGGAGCACAGGCTTTTAGTGATGTTTACTGTGCAGGAGCCTAATATTACTGTGCAGTAACTTTTTAGCGTGGTTTTTGCCCAGCATGCTACTATTAGGCGACTGCGCAGTTAGTGTTTCATGTAGACTTGCCCAGTGTACCCAGTTCCATTTGATTTTTCTTTCTTCTTCAAACAGCATTCAGTTCGACAAACTTTGATCCTTGCTAATTTGTTCAGTTTGATCTTCCTCTTTTGCACACTCAAGCGAGGAAAATAAAACTGAATGCTTGTTTGCACTTGTTTTTGTTCCTAGTGAACATAGAGCAATGAAAAGCCAAGACAAACTGAAACTGTTCTGATAAGCCTGCTATATATGAGCCACTTGACCAGGAATGGGGCTTTCAGATGTGTTCATCACTCAGAATTTGATCCAAATTTTAGTTTTTGGATGCTTAATTCTTCCTGTAGTGGTTTAGTTGGCCTATACTTAAGATGGATACAATTCCACTGAATTGGGTTTTATTTGCTTAGGTCGTCTCTGAATTTGGTTGATACTGGTCAAAGATTGTTTTCACTGGAGAATTACATTGCCCATACTTAACTCAATGTGGTTTTTCACCAGCCCCAAGGGACAGCCCTGCTCAATACGATATGGGATGGCCAGGGTGAGGGAGAATTGTTACCCTTCATTAATGTAGACCATGTGAAGGAGCACCTTGAGAGGCTGGACACCTTCAAGTCAGCTGGCCCAGACAGTTTACACCCCAGGGTACTCAAGGAGCTGGCAGGCATCATAGCTCAGCCCCTGGCACAGTTCTTCAAGAACTCCTGGCACTCTGTAGTGCCCGAAGATTGGAAGAAGGCCAATGTGGTGCCTATCTTCAAGAAAGGGAGGAAAGTAGATCCGGGGAACTACAGACCTATTGGCCTGACCTCTATCCCAGGGAAGTTCTTGGAAAAAAATATCAAAGAGACCATTCTTGACAAACTGGCTGATGGCAACATCCTGAGGGACAGCCAGCACGGGTTTGTCGTGGGTAGGTCTTGTTTGACCAACCTCATCTCCTTCTATGACCAGGTGACATATCACCTGGACAAGGGAGAAGAGATTGAAGTCATATATCTTGATTTTAAAAAAAGCCTTTGATCTGGTATCCCATGATCATCTCAGGGGGCTGGACTCGATAATTTCTGAGGTCCCTTCCAGCCCTAATGTTTATGAACCTGGTCCAATGCATGTACATGGCCTAAACACGTGTCACTGGTGTGCTGTGCTTACATCCCTGCATTAGCACCAGCATTGCACTCCATGGGATGTCCAGAGAAGCGGTCTGAGGCACCACAAACCCATCTGCAGAGCCACACACCACACATGCAGGTATTCCCCGCACTGCTACTATGCAGCACGGGGGGGTTTGTGACCCCATGGAGATCCTGGGATCAAAGAAGTGCACACCAAAAAATAAGTGGGGCAGCGCACTGTGCACACTGCTCAAAATCAAAGCCTGGCCAGCTGGAGCCACTGCTCCTGCTACTTGTGCCCAGGAGCAGTGCCATTGCTACTTGTCCCCATCATGCTAACTGCAGTGGCTTCTGGTCATGGCTCCCAGAGTCCTCCACTCCACACTGTACAGCCATGCTTTGCTGATAAGTATGCAGTATCCCCTGGGAGACCCTCTGAGATGGTCAGCATGAGAATGGTGAAGAAACATGTCAGACTTCCATAGCTTTCACAATTTGAGCCCTCCATTCCTTCTTTCCCTAGCTGCCTTCCAAAAATTGCTGATTTTTTTCAGGAGCTGTTCTTCCAAAATCACCACGGGCCCTGAAACCACCCACTCTTAAAAATGTCTCTGGCGCAACCACTTGGGACCCAGTTAGAAGCTGCTTTCATGGCTTATCTCAGAGACATACCCATGAAACCTTTCCTGATCTCTCTGGAACGGGGAAATTGTATAACTCTCCAGTGAGGAAGACAGCTTATCAGAGAGCTTACCCTGGCCCTGCAGAGCCCAAGCAGGTACCTAGCAAAAGCTCCTAGCAGGTACCCAGAGAAGCTGGCCACTGCTGCCTGGTATGGGCTAGTGGGGAACCCAGTTTGGGTCAGTTTGGGAATCCCCATTCCTGCTGTGGGGAGAGATCTGTGATGCCATAAATAAGATGCTGCAGGAGAGGGAGAGAGAAAGAGGGAGGAAGAGAGCATAAGCATATCTTTAGAATGTCAGTTTCCTATTTTTATTCAATTTTATCCTATTTTTATTCCTATTTTTTCTCTCCCTTGTTGCTATGTGAAAAACTTTCACACATGGGAAATGAGGCAATTGAGTCTACAGAAATACACTCCCCTCTAGCCATTCTCTTGCAGTGATCTTTCTTAAGAGTTACCTGTAGCAATGGTAGAAAGGATGCCAGGCAGAAGTAGTTGTGTGGCATTTTCAAAAGTCCTGAGTTTAGCAGTGTAAATCATCCAGGTCCTTGAGGTTCTCACTGTAGTTGTGAATGCCCACTCCTCCTCTGCCTCTTTAGTCTTATTGAATGCCATTTTCTTGAGGATTTATTTTTAATAGGAAGTTCAATGTGATAAAGGACTTTGTGGACATTTTGCTACACAAAATGCTGAGTATTTTCATGCTTTCTAATGAAATCACATTCTTGGCTACCTTAACCTCCTCAGAAGGTTTTCTCTGATGTGAGAAATTTCAGGTGTGTGTTGTTTCGGCACAGATGAGCTGTATTTGAGAACGTTTCACATTAGCCAGAGAAAGCCCATCTCAGACACAGCTAGGTGATAGAACTGCCTTTTCTTCATTTGTTAGTGCTGGGAGAAACCCTAGAGTACAGGACAGTTTCTGGCAAGGTTGGCTGCTTCTGGAGTTGTTTGGCATGGATGTTAAACCTCTGGGGGCTTCCTCAGACCTCGGCACTATGATCCCAGTTTGTAGGTAACAAGTTTCTTGAACGTATGCAATCAGGACTTGTAGACCAATGCAGCTACAACTTGGATACCTTGAACATATGCAGACAGCCAATCTGTGAGACACTGAGCCTTTGATTTTTTTTTTTTTTTTCTCCTTCCATGGGAGCGCAGGTAGTTAGTTCCTCCTCTCACACAAGGTGCCTCGTCTCACAGGATCATGCTATAACTGGTAAAATCTGTTGTTCAGGGAGCTTGCAGGTAACCCCAAGTGGCTCATTATCTTGCAGGGAGCTTGCGGGTAACCCCAAGCTGCTTCATTTCAAGGTCCTGTATGATGCTGTGTACAAGGACCTGCATACATTTAGCTGCAGGGAACTCTGCCAGTTGTAGAAGGATGAGGGCTGGTATTTGAACTTCCAGTTTCTGGAAGATTAGATGCAGTGTTTAGATGTTGCAGCAACAGGGATTCTAGAAATATTGTTTACAGTAGACGAGGGGGGAACAGGCATTTCCCACCTGACACTTAGACAGGTCAGTGCTCTTCTCCCATCCCATCCTCTTCTGCTTGGCTTTGTTTTCCCTGCAGCCTTCAGCACTCCAGAGGTGCATGTGGATTACAACAACAGTGGCGAGACCCTGCGGTGCGAGGCGCCCCGGTGGTTCCCTCAACCGGTGGTTATGTGGACCTCACCCAATGTCACAGGGAACAACCTCTCTGAGGTCGTCAACACCAGCTTCAAGCTGAACTCAGAGAATGTGACTATGAAGGTGGTGTCCTTTCTGCACAACATCACTGCTAATACCACCTACACCTGCGTAATCAAGAATGGCATTGCCAAAGCCACGGGGGATATCCATGTGACAGGTACATGCCAGCCTGCCTCAGATTGGAGCTTGAGGTTAATGTTACCTGGAAAGTTAACCCTGTCCCTTCTGCTGCATTGTAGGGTGCTGGGGGGGAATGGACAAATTATAGCTGAAAATAACCTGCCTCTTTTTGACCCAAAATTTTGAAATTTGACATATTGAGTAGCTCTACATGAGAACTTCCTTTCACCACTGAACAAGGAGCTGGCTGCCATATTCCATCTGCCCAGCACTAGCCAATCCCTTTGGTTTTTGCCATGGTCTGGATCTACAGAACTCGGTGTTGTTATGGAGACCTATAAATGCCAACCTTCATAGTTTCATAGTAGCTAGGGTCAGGAGGGACCTGATCAGATCATTTAGCCCGACCCCCTGCCACAGGCAGGAATGAATGCTGGGTTCACAAGACCCCGAACAGGGGATCATCCAACCTCCCCTTGAATTTGCCCAAGGTAGGGGTGAGGACCACTTCCCTGGGAAGCTAGTTCCAAATTTTGACCACCCTAACTGTAAAATATTGCCTCCTGGTCTCTAACCTAAACCTGTTCTCCATCAGCTTATATCCATTGTTCCTTGTCACCCCAGGTGGTGCTGGGGAGAAAAGGGCTCTTCCCATTTCTGTTGATCTTCCCTGATGAGCTTGTAGACAGCCACCAGGTCCCCCCTCAGCCTCCTCTTGCTGAGGCTGAACAGGTTCAGGTCCCTCAGTCTCTTCTCATAGGTCTTGTCCCACTGCCCTCTCACCAGGCGGGTGGCCCTCCTCTGAACCCTCTCCAGGCTGGCCACATCCCTCTTGAAGTGCAGCGCCCAGTACTGGACACAGT